GAATACACATATTCTAGGGTGACTTTTTTAAACGGTTGTGTTATTTCATAGATACAAGAGGATCACTCACATTTTTGGAACATATTGGAACGTATTGAATATAAAGCTTAGAGCAGACAAAAAAAACAGGTAATTTTCATGAGTTCAAAATCGTGACAAAAATCACCCTCAGGGAGGAGTCTAAAGGATCACATGGTTATTTTTACCAAGCTGTGAAAATAATCACCTAAAATACATATGTCTGTCCCAAGTGAATAATATCCACATAGATTTTACTTTATATACAAATGTATTAACCTTTTTTTTCCTGTGTTTTATGATGTTTTGACATCTTGGGGTCTTGGTAATCCTAGAGAGATTGCTCTTCCCAGGGAAAACTAATTCCTAAAGAGAGCAAACCATTTGCCTTTGATACCCAACAGACCAACCCAGAGCCAACACTTTGAACCACCTCTGCTCTCTGCCTTTTACACTCCAGAGGCAATATTCCTCTGCCCTAATCACCCCAGGGCCAGGTATGGGACCCCAGGGATTACCCCATAGCCCGGAGTCTGCCCAAGGTATGCGCACTATCCATCTCAAGCTTGTTCAGGCTGGCCTACCACCCTCTCACCTCTTCCTATCCACAAAAAGCACAATAAAGGCTTTTGCCCACGCTTTGCCCTTACACCTCTGCCTCCAGACTGACCCAAGGGCTTCCCCACGTAGCCCTGAGCAGTGAGATGTGCCTCCCGTTTCTAGGGGCCTGTGAGTATACACTTCATTCTTCATGACAGTCATTCCCATGTCTAGGTATCTTACCTGGATTAAACTAAAATCCTACATAGATTTTAGAACTAAAACAACATCTATAAACTACAATAAGTCTCTGGCTTACAAAGTGTAATGAATGATATAGTGGGAAGGAAACTATCTTCAGAACCAGAAAGTTCTGGAATCAAAACTCACAACCAACAATTCACTGCATGACTGTGTCCCACAATTCACAGTATTTTGGGCTTTCAGGAAGTTAGATTGTACATATTATCACATATTATACGATAGCCTCAGCATGGTCTGAGAGCACCCAATGATCAAAGACATTAATATTTCTGCTGCAAAACATCTGAATACTCACACTAAGTGGAATAAGCAAAGACTATATACAGTTCAGGCCAGACTATAGTCAGTTTAGTTCAGGTTTTGGTGTCTAAAACATACAAAAAGTCCTTTTTGTTTTCAAAGAATTTTGGATTTTAGATCTGAGCCTTAATTTTCCTTACATGTATGTTAGTATTAAATGAGATAAAGTATGTAAAGTCCATAGTGTCTCTTTAGCATTCAGAAACACCAGGAAGTTCCCTTAACCTGTCTATGCACTACAAACTTAGTTATTTTCTTCAACTAGGATTGTTTTGATTCCCCCGAAAAATAATAAATAGACCCTTCCATTAATAACTGTCATAGTGGTAACAGAATTACTTCCATTTTCTATAAAACACAACTATTAGTGAATTGACAGCTGCATTTAAGCATGTAGAGCAATCTTAGTGGGAAGAAAACAGCAAACCTAAACAGAAACCCCTGAATATCTGATGCACATCTACCATCCTTACTGTTAACTCAGCTTCATCTCACTCAACACTCAACACTTATTTGACTTAGTTATTATCTCACAATCTCTCTATGGAAGAAGTTAGCTTCTCAATTAACAAGAGGGAATTTAGAATCACCAAAAGCTCCCTTTTCTACTTGCCCTCTGCCAACAAATAAATAAATCATCCCAGTGTTGGGAGAAAAATGTTCCTCCCTTGAGAATTGTCCATCCTAACAAATTCTCCAGCCCCTCCTTCCTTTCACTGCTAAACTTCGAGAACACTCTGTCCCTACACTGCACGCACT